ATTTAAATCAAATTCCTCATCATTATAAACATCACGAATACACATCAAATAGTTTTCTGGTTGCAATTTTCTAATTTCGACTACGCGTAATGTATGCTTTACGCATGCGCGCGTTGAAAGAAATTTTTAATACAGTAAACAAATAAATATTAAGCTTTTTTTTTGTAAATTTTGATACCCTTTAGATCATAAATTGCTCTTTATTTCATAAATTACAGTTTTGTATTTTTAATTTTATAATTTCTGCATGCCATCTTACCAGATTTAAACTGATGATCTATAATCCGGAATCGAAATCCCAATGAGTCAGGATTAAAGATTTCTGACTGTATATGAATGTAATATATATCCTAAGTTGCGCTTTCGAGATATGAAGAATGCAATTTGAATTTTGTCAATCAGCCTAGTAGAACTGTCCCCCCCCTTTTTTTTCCCTTGGCGCACTGTACATTCATCAAGTAGAATTAAATGAAATGGTGAATTTTTTTTAACATTTTTAGAAGTTGATTTTAAATATCTTCAGCTATTTCTTCAATTCTGCACTTAACAGTGTTAACAATGGATTTACGTTCAGTTTCTATGCAGCATCCCCCTTCCCAAAACTTCTTCGCAGGCTTTCAACATGCAAGGCTTGAGTAATGCTTCTCCAATCATATATGGCTCTTTATTTTTCACTATTAAGTGCTATCACATAGGATACCTTTATTTAAGGACTTATCCTCAATAGCCATATTTTTTAAAGCACCTACTTGTTTTTGCATATTTTCACACATAATTTAAGAGAAAATATTCAAGAGGTTTCTTAGCTAAATCTGGGTGTTTTGATGGTTTCATGCCATTGTTAGATAAACTCTCACAAGTAAACCTTCTCTCCTTTGATACCAGTTTTCCGGGAACCCATATATTTTCTGAAATATATGGGTTCTTGTGTCACAAGTAGAAAAACTGTGAAGTCTAAGGGCAGAGGGTCAAGCATTTAGGAGCTAAAGCACCCATAAAGTATCATTAAAGTGTGTATAGATGGACATATTCCTGTAATGACGTCTCTATTTCTTGTGTGTTCATGCATTGTCTGCTTCCGAAGTACCTGATGGTAAAGTCCTACAAAAAGAACTGGTACCTGAAGGATGAATGGGAAAGATCCAGCCTCTAAATATTCATTTCTTCAGACACTACAAATCTTTTATTCATTACATAATGGACACAATCATTATCAAAACACAGGAGCACATTTGGCATGCCCTGCAGACTTTTCACTATATCAGTTCAGCGCTCATCGTTTCAAGAACTTGATTAAGTACGACAAACCTGGAATGCGGATTGTGCCAATGGTTTACTGCTTTGATTCATTGACAAATGATGAGTGTGCAAAGTGCAAGGCTATTGCTTTTGCAAAATGTGCCCAATGTCAACAGCCTTGCTGCCCAACTTAATGTTTATTTGATGAATTCCACATTGATTGTCTCTTATAATAGATTTTGTTTGATGTCAATAACAAGTCACACTTTTAACATCCCAATGTATATTGTTTCTTTTCAACGAGTTGTTTTTTTCCATTATATTGAGATCTGCACCTTCTTACCATATTATTAGTTCATATACAAGGGCCATCCAGGAAGTAGATTACGTTTCCGTCTGTGTCCGCTAGGGGCGGGGCTAGCGCGGCCATCTTGGGGTCAGAGCGTTGCGCAGCTCAGTCTGCATCTAGCCGTGCTAGTGAGAGGTTCGTGCTGTGCTCCGTTCAGATACTGTGACGGTTTGAAATGTCTGCGTTAATTGAAAATCCCGCGAGCTGCGAGGTGCGCTCAGTAATAAGGTTTCTGACTGCAAAAAACTGTAAAACGATAGAAATCTATTGGCAGCTTCGTGAAGTGTATGGGGACAACATTATCACTGAAGGTGGAGTGCGTCAGTGGGTCATAAGATTTCAAAATGGCCGAACCAATGTTCACGACGAAGATCGAAGTGGGAGACCCAGCATAGTGACCGCCGAACTTCTCGAAAAAGTCGATGCTAAAGTCCGTGTGAAAATCGAAATTTCACAATAACGGAACTTTCTTTGAGTTTTCCACAAATTTCGCGAAGTTTGTTGCACGAAATCATCAGCGAAAAGCTTGGTTACCACAAGTTTTGTGCAAGATGGATTCCAAAAATCTTGACAGAGGACCACAAAAATCAGCGAATGGCTGCAGCGTTGAACTTTTTGGACGCTTACCATAAGGATGGTGACTCTTTACTCGATCGCATCGTTACTGGTGACGAAACATGGGTGAAACATGTGAACTGTGAAACGAAATTGCAATCAATGCAGTGGGGGCACACAAGTTCTCCCCCAAAACCCAAGAAATGCATGCAAACAATGTCGGCAAGGAAGATGATGGCGACTGTTTTTTGGGACAGAAAAGGTGTAATTTTGGTGGACTTCCTGGAAAGAGGCACTACAATAAACTCTCAAAGGTATTGCCAAACTCTCCAAAAACTCAGAAGAGCAATTCAAAACAAGCGCAGAGGAATGTTGAGCTCTAAGATCTTGTTGATTCACGACAACGCCCGGCCCCACAGGGCAAATGTCACTCGTAAAGTTCTTGAATCTTTTAAGTGGGAGTTGTTTCCTCATCCGCCGTACAGTCCCGACCTGGCACCGAGCGACTTCCACCTATTCCCAGCAATGAAGAAGTGGCTGGCTATGCAGCGTTTTGATGACGACGCACAGCTGCAAGAAGAGGTAACGAAGTGGTTGAAGGCGCAGGCGGCCGAATTTTTCGACGAAGGAATTTCCAAGCTCGTACATCGCTACGATAAATGCCTTAATTTGTATGGTGACTATGTAGAAAAGTAGTATTTGAGTGTGGCTTTCATCTGTATATAATAAAATTTGTTTCCTATACTTTGTTTATTTTTTTATTCCAAAACGTAATCTACTTTCTGGATAGCCCTCGTAAATACGAGAAACGAGCATTTTAGCGACATTTGGTGCCATGTTTCGAACATTTTATTGATACTTTGTGGATCCTATAGCTCCTAAACTCTTGTCCCTCTGCCCCTAATATTTCACAGTTTTTCTACTTGTGACATAAGCTTTCAGAAAATTTATCAGTTTCTGTCAAACTGGTATCAAAAAGAGAGAATGTTTACTTGTCAAAACAGATAATTAAAAGTGGCCATGGATCCAGCTCACTATCAAGTTCTGGAATAAATCCAAATTTCAAATAGTTGGAATCATACTTATTTTGTTATTTTGGATTTTTTTCTTCTTGCTTCCAGTTTGAATATTCTTTCTAATGCTGTTTGATCATGGCCAGGACTGTGGATGCTCTGATTCATTGATAACCTCTTTAAGTTAAGTAATATGTTTTTCAGTATTTATTATATCTTCAGTTTTATTAAACAGATGAAAAACATTCAATTGCTTTTTCTCATTCATTATAGGTCTATTACCTATTTTATTTGAATACGAAAACAAAAAAAAAAAAAAAAAAAAAAAACGAAATACTAAAAAAATCCTTACGATAGAAAAATGTAAACATTTTGGCTTGCATAATGGCAATTTTTGTGCCAAAATTCGCCACTACACAAAGCCAAAATAACAAGACAAAGAATTACACAAACTCGGTATCCATGTACACATCGACCTATTTTCACTTAAAAAAAATTTTCCCCAAATTGCACAAAAATGCCATTGCGCACACCATTGATTTTATCCATGTATACGTCGACCTATTTTCACTTAAAAAAATCCAAGAATTGCACAAACTTGCATTGCACACTCCCTTCACTTTGTCTATGTACACATTCATATATTTTTACTTAAAAAGTACAAGGGGAACCCAATTCTACAATACAGGCAAACAAAAAATACATAATCTCAATAAACTACATTTTAAACCAAACAATAAAATAACATAAAAAAGAAACACATGTTATACATTTAAGCACTACAAAAAGCAAATATCCACTTAACCCTATTTAGAAGTTCCTTCGTCTTTAGTCTGTAGCACACAAAAGTCCTTAACAGCATCCAAAAACTTCCTAAACTTATCTGGGCTAATCTTTGGAATATGGTAACAGGTAGTTTGGCAACATTTTGGTAAGGCGATAAAGGTGACTAGCTAGGACTTTAGCAGTGTACATGGATAAAGTCAAGAGTGTGCGCAATGCCATTTTTGTGCAATTCTGGGATGTTTTTTTAAGTGAAAATAGGTCGAAGTGTACATGGATACCATGTATGTGCAATTCTTAAAAACGCGGCAAGCAGTGAGCGATTCTGCACTTTCTCCCAATTTCACACATAATCTTCGTCATGATTAAGCACTTTTGTTCCATAAAAGTTCTAGCACAAGCACAATTCGACTAGCAGATTGTTGGAAAAAAATGTTGAGTAAAAAAATGCCTTTACATCATGAAAACAAAATGGTGTCCAAAAAAAAACTAGCAGGTTGCTGTAGCAGAGTTGTTCGCCAAGTTTTCGCCAAAAAATCGCCAAGTTACCATAATTCGAAGATTAACCCTTATCTGAACTCGAATCCGTATATCAGCGTTGCCACATCTGAACCTTTCTTCCTACAAACCCATTCAAATCCATCTAAACGGTTTTTACATTCGACCTTCCTACATACAGGACACTTATAATGGCTACTAAGTAAACCTTCATTTACACACCAGTCAATTAAGGATCTCTTCCCCTTTTGTTTCAAATTGTACAGAAACTTCAAATTAATCTTACTACATTCAGCCATTCTACCATCTAAACAATAAAACCCACACACTCCACAAAAGCACTTAGAAAACATCCCACAATTCAAAATTTCCCAAAATCATGCACCCATTACAATATCACAATTACATCACAATAGGGTTTCCATAACATTCAACTACTCAGGCTACCATAAATGAAACAACAACTTCGCCATAATACAAGTCGTACCTTAAAGTCTACTCTAACCAAATAAAATTACAGTGTGCCAACAATTAACATAAGTAGCTGGTATGGCAGAAATTACCTATAGGCCTGTTTCAGTTGAGTTTAGCTTTAGGGTAAGGTTGCTACTGATGAGCCACTTTTAACAAAATGTTCCTAAAAAATCATAAAATTTAACAATTTTAGAGTTTTGTACATGTTAATATAAGTATTATTTTTCTTACTACACATATCTTGAAATAGACATTATAATTATGAAATGTTAAGTAAATATTAAAAAAGAAAAATAATTTCTAGCGATATGAAAGTAACTGGCCGGGGAGTTTCCATGAATGGGCCGGCAGCTTTTTTATTTTTAACACAGTATCATATTAATACTAGTTCAGTATAAAATTTAAAACTCTTTTGCGATTATTCATAAATAAAAAAAAATTTGATTAAAAGCCAACATAGACCACACAGAATACACTGAAAAATATTAATAGCAAAAATTGAAATTTACTATTTTTCACTCCTTCCGGCATCTCAGAGGAAAAAAAAAAAAAAAGAACATTATATATAGAACAATCACGTATTTAATGCATCTTTTGGCCAGATTAATCTCTTCAAAACTGCTATTAGGTAATTTTGCGCATAATTTACGCATGAAATAATAAAAACCATTACAATAATTTCAATAAAACATTCATTTTACACACAAAGTTAATAACAATAAAATAACTCAGAAATATTTTATAAATAGTAATTATAGGCCAGCAGAGGATGGAATATATAATAATTAAAGTTGGTAAAAGTATAGTTTAGAGTACCCCTTGGCGAAACTTGGCGGTACATAGATACCGATTTTGTGCAATTCTTTAACTCGTTATTTTGGCTTGCGTAAAAATCAACGCTACACAAAGCCAAAATAACAAGACAAACAATTGCACAACCTCGGTACCCATGTACACAATGACTTATTTTCACTTAAAAAAAAAACCCGAATTTCACAAAAATGGCATTGCGCACTCATTTGATTTTATCCATGTGTATGTCGACCTATTTTCACTTAAAAAAAATCCCCGAATTGCACAAAAATGGCATTGTACACTCTTTTAACTTTATCCATGTACACGTTGACCTATTTTCACTTAAAAAAAAAATCCCAGAATTGCACAAACTTCCATTGCGTACTCCCTTTACTTTGTCCATGTACACATCGATATATTTTTTCCCTTAAAAAGTCAAACGAGGGCTGATCTTTAGAATATGGTAACTGGAAGTTTGGCGACATTTTGAAGGCGATAAAGGTTACTACCTGGGACTTTGGTAATAATGTGAGCAGTACTCAGTTCCGATTACGCATTATTTTGTGTGAGGGAAACGAGAGATCATGGGATATGTCATGTGATATTAATGGACGAATTACGGTTCTTTAATCGGAAAAGGGGGGAAATCGGGAAAAAGTCTGGAAATTTTGTATTTGGCTTTATTCTGTGTTGTGTGAAACAGTGTTCGTTAATTTTTGGATCCAATGGCCCTAACTAAAGTGAATTTGAAATGGGTATTTGGGATGAAAGGGGATTGAAAGGGGTAGTAATAAGTGTTTCTTTAAGGTTGTGCGAGATAGAAGTAAAGATCTTTTATTAAGTTATTTATTTTACCTGGTACCTAGCTGTGAACTATAAGTATGATTTTAAAGATCCTGAAACAGAAATAAGAAAAGTTTATCGGACACGTAATCAAGATTCTGAAGAAGAAGATTAGGTAAGTTAGTATTTTTAATTATTTGAGGATATTATTTTTATGCATTGTTCTAAATGTAAGGTGGGAAGTAAAGTAATTTGTGTAAACGTGCATGGAAATAATTTAAATATTTGACACTAAGTATTGTAACCATTTGTAATGTTTGCGGTATGAATTAGTTAGTGACGTTTGTAATATAATAGATAACGTAGAGGTAAAAGTTTTTGGATATTTTATTTATTTTATACGGGGAAATGTTCATATTTGGAAAGGGTATATACTTTTTCGTGATCAGGTAATTTCATATATGTTCTTTTTACCGGGTTTAAAGATTCAGAAAATTTTTATGCATTTTCGTGAAATTTTCCTAATTTATGAGAAAAAAGCAGTGTACATGGATATAGTGAAGAGTGTGCACAATGCCATTTTTGTGCAATTCTGGGATGTTTTTTTAAGTAAAAATAAGTCGACGTGTACATGGTTTAGTGAGATTTTAATTAAATGATAGTTATTTTGTGAATTTTATGTTTGTAGGAATTTGGTATACGTTTTAGTTGAAGTAAACGTGCATGGAAATAATTTAAATATTTGACACTAAGTATTTGTAATGTTTGCGGTATGAATTCGTTGGTGACGTTTATAATATAATAGATAATTGAGAGGTAAAATTTTGGATATTTTATTTATTTTATACGTGGAAATGTTCATATTTGGAAAGGGTATATACTTTTTCGCGATCAGGTAATTTCATATATGTTCTTTTTACCGGGTTTAAAGATTCAAAAAATTGTCATGTATTTTCATGAAATTTTTCTAATTTATGAGAAAAAAGCAGTGTACATGGATATAGTGAACAGTGTGCGCAATGCCATTTTTGTGCAATTCTGGGATGTTTTTTTTAAGTAAACAATAAGTCGACGTGTACATGGTTTATGTGTATGTGTTATTTTGAAAAACGCGTAAGGAGTATGGTATTGTGCACTTTTTCCCAATTTTGCAGTGAATATTTGATTAAGCAATGATTAAGCAGTTTTTTTAGATAAAATTTGTAGCATTAGTGTAATTCTGCTAGTAGATTGTTGGAAGAAGTGTTCAGTAGATAAAAAGAAAAGAAACATGTCTTTACTTCGTGAAGACAAAATGGCGGCGGGGAAAAAAAAATAGAGGGTTGCTGTAGGAGAGTTGGTCGCCAAATTTTCGCCAAAAAATCGCCAAGTTACCATAATGTAAAGATCAACCCAAAGGAGCACCAAAGTCTACAATATAGGCAAACAAAAAATACATAATCTCAATAAAATACATTTTAAACCAAGCAATAAAATAACATAAAATAGGAAAAACATGTTATACATTTAAGCACTACCAAAAGCAAATATTCACTTACCATGATTTTCGAGTTCGCTTCGTACACCCAGAGCCACGTAAACATCAAAATATCAATCATACTCAAATGACTTTTTTCAAACTAGGTACTCTTTCTAATCGAACGCTTCACATAGTGACCATCTGAACCTTTCTTCCTACAAACCCATTCAAATCCATCTAAACGGTTTTAACACATACCACAAAAACGCTTACAAAACATCCCATGATTCAAAATTTCCGAGAATCATGCACCCGATTACGTCACAATAGGGCTTCCATAACATTCAACTAATTAGGCTACCATAAATGAAACAACAACTTGGCGATAAATCAAACAACAGCTTCGCCATAATACAAGGGGTACCTTAAAATCTACTCTACCCTTAAAGTTAAGTGTGAAACAAAACTTAAAATGCAAGCACAATAAAATATTTTCTTTAAAAACGAAGTTATAAACAAAATTATTCATGAATGAGTAGCGTTTTGGTTAAATATACTTTTACGTGATTATTAGTTAAACCAATTAAAAAAAAAAAAGAAAAAATGGAATGCAGGGAGCATTTTAAAATTCATATTTAAAAAAATTGAATCTTTTATTTTATGATAAATAATATAAAGATGATATTAACTATATTTTTGCAAAATTTATTTATTCTGCATAAATGAATTTAAATAAAAAGTGGTCTACTGTCACATTAATATGGCTACTAAATAATGCTGACTATACACAGTTTTAAATATTCTGAGTAGCAACTAGAACATTACTAACATCTCACTAAATGTCGTTCACACTGAAAAAATATATAAGTACAAAAATCATACCTTCTTGAGGAGAAACCTTGTTAATGCATTTATCAACTAATAAGTCAAGATGGCTATTTTTAATCTTCATAAAGTATTAGCAATATGAAAATATGTGACAAGCTATATTGTCACTTATTTTCATATCGCTGAAAAGCAACGTCACGAAAAGCATGAACAAACCGGCAATGCAAAAGCAATATCAGCAATGTGTTACGCCGCCAGTTTAAAATTATTTTAAACATAATGATCATCGGCTACATAATGTGATTCATTTTTTAAATTAAATCCAGATCAAAGATATGAAATCGTTAAAAACAAAAAATTGTGTTTAAACTGTTTTAGTAAAAAACATTTTATCCCAAAATTTAATTTTATGTTCAGATGTTCCGAATGTCATAAAAAATCATTCATCATTCCAGCACTTACTCAGCAATGGCATCCATCAACAGTTAGACAAAAACAAAAACGAAACATCCACTTAGACAAAACAAAAAAAGGAAACATTATAAACAAGAATGCAGATGGTTCTCATAAAAATTAGTCCATTTGTTTTTGACACGGAGAAATAATGTGTTAACAGCAATTGCAATTTTATATGTTTGTAATTCGGAGAGTTGTGTTAAGCTTTTATGAAAACAAATCTTACCTCTGTCAGTAAAAAAGTTTGCGCTTCGACAATTTTGCAGTTCGCGGCAATTATTCCGCTCTTTTTCTTCTCCTTCTTAAAGATTGACTTTTAAAAGTTTTCTATACTGATCTTAAGTTCGTTTTGGCGTTATCAAGATAGCACAGGTAAACACACAGACAGACAAAGTAGACAGATGTCTTTTGTTGCACCCGCTAAGTCTTTCTGCACCGATGGGCGAAAAATCAAGCATAGGTGCGAAGGAAAGGTATCCGCGATTCAATTCACCTATAGATGGCGCTTTCACACATTAGTATGGCGGATAAAACTCGGTATCTTGATTTGTGATCTGACTTCGTACATTCAAAAATGGAGTTACTTAGCTCTTCCGAAATGTTTGATTTTGTTCAAGGAGGCGTAAATTCTCGCTGTATTACTGAAGCAGAGAGCATTTTAAAAAGCTGATCATTTGGTAATGCACGAAATTTTACTTGAAATCCAATGTACAAGTTTTGGCTTTCTATTTAAGGATAAGTTCTATAGCGTCCTGATCGCATGAAATCGAAGGACATTTCATTGTTCAAAAAGGACAGATAAAAATTTTAAAAAAAAATTCTTGTTCATGTAAAGGAGGAACTGCTGGCTGGTGTAGGAAATTGTGTCGCTGTTTTATTGTATTGTGACAGGTAGCTGATTTCAACGTTCACTGATTGTAAACAAATGATTTCATATGTGTTTTACTTGGGATTTCTAGAAAATCTGTGCAGTCAAAAGTGTCTTTTTTTTCCCATAAAAATGATATTGAATCATTATATGTATACTAAAATATATTGATCTATTATATGCATCTATTGTATTTATTATACACATGATAGCACTAATCATCAAATGCAATTTTGAGAATATCAACAAGCAAAGCACTTAAAAATGAAAAAAAAAAAAACACTTGTTATAGAACTATTAATATTCTGTATGTATTATAGAAAATACATGCAATGAATAATACCATGACCAAACATTTCAAAAAAAAAAAAAAAAGCAGATTAAGTATTACCTACCTCAGTACTTGAGAAAGCAATCCTGGCATATAACATGCAGTTAACTTTTGATTACATATTACAAGCATTTTCTTTAGTTTTGTCCTACAAGTGGTTTAAACAACTCAATACTGGTAGTTTAATCTCAGCTCAAATCCTGGTGAACAAGCTGGCTGTGCAGTTTTTATTTTTTTGCATGTGTTTTGTGAATACGAACCAGTTTTCCCTATAAAGTTCTTCATAAAAGCATTCTTCTTCAGGCTGATAACCAATGTGCTTAGCCATATCTGATAACCAATGTGCTTAGCCATATTCAAATAGCCTAATCTAACCTTACCTTTTCTTTAGATTCTATATTCACATGTTATATCTTTATCTGTTAAGATTTGTTCATAACAGGATCACCAGGCTTCTACCAATCTGGCAGGAGCATACTCAAAACATGTCAAAACCATGTGATTTATAACAAAATCGATCATGTTGTCCTTGCAAACCTTTATAAATGTTCCAAATTTTCTTAATAATCTTATTATTTAGAAATGTGTTTATTGTTGTTTTTATATGAACAAAAGCATTTAAATATATCAATTTTTTAAAAATAATGGAAGTGTTCTTTTAATCAGTTTTGCTTTTCTAATGCTGTTTTTAATTAATAACTTTATATCTGAGCCAAAATTCAAGAATAAGTCTATTAAAAAGGTCTGTGTGATAAGTCTATTAATTAATTACATTGTATGAACTTCAACATCTTTGAATATGAAACACCGAACTAACACTTTGAATATGAAACATTCTATATGAAAACACCGAGTCCATTCCAATCTAATAGAAGAATAAATTATACTTACGAATTCACAGTACGAGCTTCTCTGTATTATATTACACAAAGATTAGAAACCAAGTCTCCACATAGGAAATCTTACACTGATATGATGGTCTTGTATTGAAACAGAATTGTAGCAACATAGATGATATGAATTACATTATGCCAAAGAATTATTTCATCCTAAATAAATTATAGCATTTAGTTTAACCAAAGACTCACAAAACAAAATTTCAGATTTGGGTTAATCTTTGGATTATGGTAACTTGGCGATTTTTTGGCTAAAATTTGGCGACCAACCCTGCTACAGCAACCTGCTAGTTTTTGTTCGGACGCCATTTTGTTTTTAAGAAGTAAAGGCATGTTTTTTTTTTTACTCAACATTTCCAACAATCTTGTAGCCGAATTATGCTTATGCTAGAACTTTTATGGAATAAAAGTGCTTAATCATGACGAAGATTAGGTGCGAAATTGGGACAAAGGGCAGAATCGCCCACTGCTTGCGTTTTTACGAATTGCACATACACGGTATCATCCATGTACACGTCGACCTATTTTCACTTAAAAAACATCCTAGAATTGCACAAAAATGGCATTGTGCACACTCTTGACTGTATCCATGTACACTGCTAAAGTCCTAGCTAGTAACCTTTATCGCCTTACCAAAATGTCGCAAAACTACCTGTTACCATATTCCAAAGATTAGCCCAGATTTGTTGTAAAATTGGTGTCATGTTTTTCCCTATGCTATAATAACTCCACACATTATCTACATATTTTCTTGTCAGTCAAGAAGATTGATGGAAATATTGTCCTTTCAAAAATTATTGTAACAGATATTTCTTTTTAAGTTACATGATCAACAGAAACTATAGAGATATAGCATATAAAAAAACCTTGAAAAATTATTTGTGGAAATTTGGGAGGAACAGATGCTATTTATTTGGTTAGATAATCAACAGATAAAAGTGGTTTATTAAGGATTTCTCAGTGTTATATGAAACCACCGAGAATTTATGAGTACGTTTTGATATCATGCTTATCCATTATTGGGGCTAATGTACATTGTTATCAGTTTTTGTTAGCCAAAAATGGTCGAAAGTAGAGTAAAAATATTAGGAGTTTGACGATAATCATCAAGTATACCATAATGTATTTGCATAGAAATATAATACCCAACAGCCAAAAATAAATTAAACTTATCAAATGAATTTTAGTATGCCATAATGGTTTCATGGGAAAATATAACATACCTCTTAAACAACTACAATCATTATATACAACAGCCATTTCATTATAAAAAAGGCATAAATTATATTAATCAGATAAAAATTTTTGTAAGAGCTTCACTATCTGGTTATAATTCTTAAGCAAACAAGAAGCCATTTCCAGTACCATAATATAATTTTCATAAGAACTATCCCATTCCATCGCAGAATATTAAAAGCGTTTTGGTAGAAACAAGAAATTTTATGGTAATTTTCCAACCATATTCTAATATTCAGATTGTAGATTTTAAAATTTTATCATTTAAAAAGTACAATTTCATAGAATGCAAATTTTGGTACTTTTCCGTTTCGCCAGCGCAAATCTCGCCAAGCA